TCAAAGGCTAGGCCCCCGCTTATAACTGTGGTTGCGTAAGGAAGGGCGTCCTGCGTGAAAATTAGCCAAATAAATTACTTATGATGACAGAAGTGACAATGTGACAGATGTGAATGGCGTCGAGGGGTATTTCGGTTTCCTCATAGGTAGCCAAACGGCAACCCCCGATCTCGGGGAAAATGTCGTCTAAACGTGTGTTGTTGTTGTTGTGATGTTGTTGTTATTGATATGATAATTTGGATGACTTATGTTGAGCCGTGTTGTATTAGTAGAGAGAGATGTTTGATCAGAAGGATGCTTTTGTGGTTTGTGTTGTTGTTGGTGATGTTGTTATTTATGCTATTGTTGTTGTTGTTAATGTTGTCGTTAGTGTAGTTGTTAATGTAATTGTTATTGTTGTTTATGCTGTTGTTGTTGTTTATATAGTTGTTGTTGTTGTTAATGTAGCTATTAATGTAATTGTTGTTGTTTTCGGATCTTGTTTATGTTTTTAGCATTGTTGCGGTCTATGTTGTTGTCTATGATGCTGTCGATTGTGTTGTTGTTTACGTGGATGCTGCTGGGCTGTTGTTGGTGTTATTGTTTCGAATAGTACTCGTGTTGTTAGTACTGGAGTGTCAAAGTCGGATTCGGTCGGATTTCTGCCGGTGTCGGAATTTTCGCAGAGACCGAAAGCAAAATGTTAAAAATTTGATTTTTTTTTGTCATTTTTATTCGGAAACTATTTTTACAGGATCAAGTTTTTTAGTAGTAGATCATCAAATAGTAAATGAATGGGTGCAAAAACATGCCAGCATCTTTATTACTGAAAACAAATGATAATAATGTGAATGAAATCACATTATTTTTTCTTTCATTGTGTTTCGAGGCACTTTGTTTCGAGGCAAAATACAAAGTAATTTTGTTAAGAGAACGATAAGATTGACTGATTTTATGTGTTTTTTTTAAGTTTTTTAGGGGTAATACTTAAGTATAATTGTAGAGCATAAGTTGAAAATATTTTCTGGAAGCTGGAAGTCCGGGATGGATATTTTTTACCAGAAGTGTGAGTTTGAAAAATTTCATGATTCAATCGAGACACTTTGGCAATAGTGTTGAGGCTTTTGAGGTCATTTTTTCAATGCAGTTGATGTTCTTTGATGTTTTTTGCGTTCATGTTGTTGGGGTGGTTGTTGTTGTTTTTTGTTGTTGTTGTTTATAATGTTGGTCCAACCAAATTTTAAATGTAAGTCATATATTGATGTTACTTAATTACAACGTGTGATGTAAATTGAGGATCAGAAGTTAACATTTATCGATGTGAGAAATTAAAAGAAATTTATTGCTGGAAGATTTGCTGAATTAATTTATGGCATGTCTTCTACGTAGTTATTTTCTTGGATGTAAATCTTGTCGTTTTGTTGTTGTTGTTGTGTTGTGGTTGTTTCATTGTTGTTGTTGTTTTTTTTGTTGTTGTGTTGTGATGTGGTTGATGTTGTTTATATTGTGACGGTGTTGTTGTAGTTTGTGTGGATCGCACTACGGCCTTATTTTACGGTTGTTGTTAATGTTGTTGTTGTCGTTGAGATTATTAGTTTGTTGTTGTGGTAATGTTCATTTTGTTGTTTATGTTGTTGTTGTTCTCGTTTGGACAATTGTATACAATGTTGTTGTACTTGATGTTGTTGTTGATGTTGCTTATTTGGTTTTACCTTTTGTTAATTGTTTTCGTTGTTCACAGTGCGGTTGTTATTAATTCCATTATAACATTTTATGACAAGCAAGCAGTCACCTTTCTTATATGTTTTCTCATCTGTTTATTAAGCATTGCTTGCATTCAATTGTATGCGCGCATTCAATTGCTTCTGTGCATACTTGTGCTATTGTAACAATTTGCTCTTTGCATTTTTGGGTTTTTATGTTTATTTTGTTTCTATTTTTGTGTGTGTTTGCATGTGTTTTTGTTTGTTCGCGTGTTTGCATGTGTCAGTGTTTGTTCGTGTGTTTGCATGTATTGGTGTTTGTTTGTGTGTTTGCATGGTTTTTTTGGTAGGTACTAGTTTGCCATTGGTTTGAAAGTTTTTTTTTGTATGGCCCAATCTAAACTCTGCTACCTTACCAATATGACAGCATTCTGGCTCCCTCTCACTTGACAAGTCGAGTCATATCGGTGTCGAATAAGAACCGAGGCAGTATCGCGTCGGTATGTTCGACCAACACCACTTTCGACACGCTGGACAACTTCACACCGCAGCATCAACAGCAACAACAATCGCAACGACAAACATCAACCACACGACTTGCGTCAAGGAGGGAATCGTCGCCAGTTCAACCCCAGCACCAGCAGCAACAACCTCAACGCCAGCAACTGCAACTGCCCATCATCAACATTCCAACCACACCGACCACGCCTACCACAAACCTCCCCGCTGCACGCTCCACTGAGAACATCAACGCCACCAGCGACCACCAGCCGTTCACTATACCAACACCATTGCCACTTACTTCCAGAAGATTCTCTGGACCGAGTCCGACCAACTGTCTTGGTACCATCGACCCATCTCTGTACAGGCATAGGCGCCGGAGTTACAACGATATGACTTCAAAAACAGGCGGGAATAACGACTGCATGGAAGAGGATGACGACGACGAAGATGACAACTTCGATTACGGGCCCGACTATCTGGGCAAGATTCGTTTCGGGGTAAGTTACTCGAAAGAGTCTGAGAAGTTGACCGTGGTCGTCATGCAGGCCAACAAGTTGCCATCCAGGAACCCCGGGTCTGCCGACACCTGCGATCCATTCATCAAGTTTGTGTCTCTTCATAATCATCCTCCTCATCATCATGTATAAATGGATAGATGCGTGGATGAATGGATGGGTAGACTGAATGTTTTTCACTGGATGTTTTTTACAGATTGTTTTATTACATTTGTGGACTGAATGATTGATTGTAGATTTTTTAAATTATTAAATAAATGGAAAAGTTTATTGGAAAAATATGAATTAATGAATAAATTTAAATGAATAAATAAATATGAATTGCCAGTCAGTTGTGATTGAATGAATGAACGAATGAACAAACGAACGAACGAACGAACGAACGAATGAATGAATGAATGAATGAATGAACGAACGAATGAATGAATGAATGAATGAATGAATGAATGAATGAATGAATGAATGAATGAATGAATGAATGAATGAATGAATGAATGAATGAATGAATGAATGAATGAATGAATGAATAGACGAATGTGAATGAATGAATGGACGAATGAATGAATGGACGAATTTGACTAAACAAATGAACAAATGTTAATAAACAAACAAACATAAATTTATTGATGAAAATTAAAAAGCCAGAAACGAGGAAATAATGAGCAGATAAATTTTCCGCTAAATGAATACAATGATTACATGAATGATATAAGAACATAGGGATACCTGCTTTGATACATACACATCATACATTTATACATACATATCATACATTGATACATACATATCATACATTGATTAGCCACTGTTGAAAACGGGGAAAGTGGAAAGCCAGAAATAAAAAAGACTTGGCAGAACAATCTTTGAAATTCAAGGAGATTGTTGGCGCAGTGCAAAGCACAAAACACGGCGTAGGCTGGTTTCAAAACAGGTGGTGGTCCAAAGTCAACAACAAAACAAAAAGTCAGATGATTATTGAAGGAAAACGTGATGAATACGTCAGAGAAAGAGAGGTGGCTGGCATCAGTGCAGCAGAGTCAACAGGGCAGATGGTCATCGTGGCAAGAAGTGTTGCGGAGAAACTTCAGTTGGAAAGAAATTTGGTATACGACTCCTCTCCGTTTGGACGTGGACGCTGATTTGGAAGAAAGACAAAATTTTTCAAAGTTCATCAAAGAAAGAAGCATGAGACCTGACATGGTGGTGGCATCTGAGAACACGAATTCAGTTATCGTTATTGAACTGACTGTGTCGTACGGAGAGAACATGCTCAGTAGTAACTGCAAAGTACGAACAGCTGATTCAAGATTTTAACAAGAAAGAATACAAAACCAGGTTCTACGCTGTTGAGGCTGGTGCAAGAGGAACAGTGGGAGCGTCGATGTATGCACTTTTCAGAGTTGTGGGACTGTCAGGCAAGAGGCGTACAACATGCCTGAAGAAAGTTATTAGTGGCGCAGAGCAAGCTTCTTATTGGTTGTGGCTGAATAGAAATAAAAAGAAATGTCTGCTGAACTAGTAAGCCACGGCTGCAGTGATACGACTTCGTATGGAAATATAAAACTGAACTTTGGCATAAATAGCAGATCAACACCGCTGAAAAAATCAACAGTCTTCGATAAGCTTTTGAGTGATTAACAAACGTGGCCCGGTCCCCGAGAATGTAAAAAGGTTGTTGGTTGTTGTAAAAAGGGGTTCCTCCTCTGAGGACTTCTCGATGATTTGGCTCAACCGAGTTCTCATATACACATATCACACATCGATACATACATGTTGATACATACATATAAACATATCACACATTGATACACGCATATTGATACGTACATACATTATACAAACGGATAAAAAATATAAATAAAAATGAAATTTAACATCAAAAACATCAAAACACGAAGCCAAAATTCATCTTGATAATATGAATGAACGTTTTAGCGTGCTAGCACAGGGAAATCAATAATAATAAGCATAACAACAAACGGATCACAAAACATTTGCGAAGAAGACAGGAAGATTGCACGAAAGCAACAACAATATCAACAACAACAACGACATCAACAACAATAATAACATCAATAACAACAAAAATAACATAAACAACAACTACAACAATAACAATAACAACAATAACATCAACAACAACAATAACAACAACAACAATAACATCAATAACATAAACAACAACAACAACATTAACAACAATGACATCAGCAATTACATCAACAACAGCAATAATATCTATAATAATAATAATAACCACAACAATAATAATAATACTAATAATGACATCAACCACAACAATATTATCATCAACAACAATAACAATAATAATAACATCAACAACATCTATAGCTCCCATTTAAATGCGATCAATACAAGCACGCTGTGTATACAAACAATTAACAGTAACAATGCAATACAACAACATACTAAACTGTCAACATAGTCCACAATCCATTGAATGATATCATCAGCACTTTAATTTCCAATGTTATTATTTTTATTATTATTATCAATATTATATTATTAATATTATTTTTATTATTAATATTGATATTATTATTGTCATTTTTATTATTATATTTATTGTTATTTATATTATTATCTTATTGCCATATTTTGATTTGTATTTTTTCGTTTGTTTGCTTTTTATTTAGTGTGTTTGTGTGTTTGCGTGTGTGCGTGTGTGCGTGTTTGTACGTGTGTGTGTGTGTATATATGTGTGTGTGTGTGTATTTGTGTGATTGTGACATACAAACATCCATGATACATATACTGCGAAGTTTCATGCTGAAACACTACACGATTGAATCGAGTCTCTGGCGCGAAAGATGGACATTGAGCATCGTACGGATCTGTAGAACGAGTTGGAAGAAATGTCAGATCGGTTTTTTAAAAAAAAATAAAATAGAAAAAGATCAATGTCCAAAATTTCAAATAATTTTTTTTATTTATAAATGTAGAGGTAAGAAAGATTTTACTACAAAAAGTTGTTTCGATCTCCCTGACCTGAGAATCAAAATTATCTACACGAATTTTTCTTCTAAATCTCTAAGGCACATGACAGATGAGTTGGTCGCTCTGAAATGCTTTTCAATGAAAGGAAATATGATGGAACGTGATGGAGCGTGATGGAGCGTGATTGAAAACATGATGAAGCGTTATAGAACGTGAGGGATGGAGAAGATGATGATGGCCACTAAAGTGTAGAGTGGAATACACACTTTTTGTTTGGTTTTATTCTGAGTGCGTTTGATCGTTTGTGTATGTGAGAGAGAGAAAGAGAGAGGGGGAGAGAGAAAAAGTGTGTGTGTGTGTGTCGTGTGTGCGTGTGAGTATAATTCTGAAATTTCAGTTGTTGCCTATATATGTGTGTGTCTATTATTTAAAAATTTGTTTTTATTGCCTCACTCGATTTTTAATTTCTTTTTATGACTATTGAGAACAGCTCACACTAAGATGTCATAATAACGTCTTTGAATATGTACATGAGTGAGTATGTGCGTGTATTCGTACGCTCATCTTCCATGCTCGCATGCTGAAGTTTTGTGCACGTGAGTACGTGTGTGTTGTGTTTCTCACGCGTGTGTTTCTTATCAAGATGGGTTTCTGCGTTTGTTGTTCATTTAAATTAAAATTTGAGCAACTTCATTGATGAATGGTAATTAGCCACGTATGATGATCAGAAAATAAAATGTGGATGCTTCGAAAACAAAAAATTAATAAAGTTACGAGTAAGAAACTCGTAACGACTAACGAACGAACGAACGAACAAATGAACGAACAAACGAACGAACGAACAGATTGGTCCTCCTACCAGATCTTCGCAGTCAGGTGCGCACATCGTTCAAGAAGAAAACATGCAACCCAAAATTTGACGAAACTTTTGTGTTCCAGGTACTCAGAACTTTTTTTTCATTTCATTTTTTAATAATTTGGACGCAGTAAAAACATATATATAAACTTTCATTTCATATTCATTAATATTTGATGAAAAAGTTATGGCTATATAAACCTGTTTGTGTGTGTGTGCGTGTGTGTGTGTGTGTGTGTGTGTGTGTGTGTGTGTGTGTGTGTGTGTGTGTGTGTGCGTAGACGTGTGTTTTTGTGTGCACGAATGTGTATGGGCTTTTCTATTAATGTTCACCCTTCTTACCATCTGCGAATAAATTGAAATAATTTAATTACAATTGCAATCCATTCGTGTTAGCACACGTGGGAACTCCAGTGCATTTGAAGATAATTGAAAATTTAAAAGGAATAAAAAAAAATCTATAGACGCAAATAGAAATATTGAATCAACAACAATTAATAAAAAATAAGATCCATGAGCCCGGTGCAAACTTATAGACACACACGCACACACCACACGCACACACCACACGCACACACCACACACACGCGCACACATCACACGCACACACACACGCGCACACACACTCACTTAAATACAAACACACAAATAAACACAAACAGACACCCTCATACATACCTGTCTATAATTTTTTTCATTTTGAGTAAATAGAACATCCTTGTAAGAGGCACGTTTCATTAAAAAAGTTTATCATTAATATTTTTAATTTATTTTCTTAAATAATTTAAAGAATTTTTTGTTCAATTGAATTTTATTCAATGTTTTTAAAAATAAATATTTTTTATAAAATGCATTATTCTCAAAAACAAAGTATTGCCATATTCATCAAACATATTAATAATTCATCTGATGCACTTGAGCCGGCATGTTCTGTAGAACGATATTTTAAAACTTCCACTAATTGTACTTTTTGTTAAGTATCGTTCTTATTACTTTTTTTAGTTTGTTGTGATAATTAC